GTAGGTAAGCAGCCTGACTGACCTCGTGTGCTCAGTAGGTAAGCAGTCTGACTGACCCTCGTGTGGGTCAGTAGGTATGCAGGATGACTGACCCTCTTGTGGTCAGTAGGTATGCAGCCTGCATGACCCTTGTGTGGTCAGTAGGTAAGCAGCCTGACTGACCCTCGTGTGGTCAGTAGGTACTCAGCCTGACTGACCCTCGTGTGGTCAGTAGGTAAGCAGCCTAACTGACCATCGCGTGGTCAGTAGGTACGCAGCCTGACTGACCCTCGTGTGGTCAGTAGGTATGCAGCCTGACTGACCCTCGTGTGGTCAGTAGGTAAGCAGCCTAACTGACCATCGTGTGGTCAGTAGGTAAGCAGCCTAACTGACCATCGTGTGGTCAGTAGGTAAGCAGCCTAACTGACCATCGTGTGGTCAGTAGGTAAGCAGCCTAACTGACCATCGTGGTCAGTAGGTACGCAGCCTAACTGACCCCCCGTGTGGTCAGTAGGTACTCAGCCTGACTGACCCTCGTGTGGTCAGTAGGTAAGCAGCCTGACTGACCCTTGCGTGGTCAGTAGGTAAGCAGCCTGACTGACCCTCGTGTGGTCAGTAGGTACTCAGCCTGACTGACCCTCGTGTGGTCAGTAGGTAAGCAGCCTGACTGACCCTCGTGTGGTCTGTAGGTACTCAGCCTGACTGACCCTTGTGTGGTCAGTAGGTACGCAGCCTGACTGACCCTCGTGTGGTCAGTAGGTACGCAGCCTGGCTGACCCTCGTGTGGTCAGTAGGTATGCAGCCGACTGCCCTCTTGTGGTCAGTAGGTACGTAGCCTGACTGACCCTCGTGTGGTCAGTAGGTAAGCAGCCTGACTGACCTCGTGTGCTCAGTAGGTAAGCAGTCTGACTGACCCTCGTGTGGTCAGTAGGTATGCAGGATGACTGACCCTCTTGTGGTCAGTAGGTATGCAGCCTGCATGACCCTTGTGTGGTCAGTAGGTAAGCAGCCTGACTGACCCTCGTGTGGTCAGTAGGTACTCAGCCTGACTGACCCTCGTGTGGTCAGTAGGTAAGGAGCCTAACTGACCATCGCGTGGTCAGTAGGTACGCAGCCTGACTGACCCTCGTGTGGTCAGTAGGTACTCAGCCTGACTGACCCTCGTGTGGTCAGTAGGTAAGCAGCCTAACTGACCATCGCGTGGTCAGTAGGTACTCAGCCTGACTGACCCTCGTGTGGTCAGTAGGTACTCAGCCTGACGGGACCCTCGTGTGGTCAGTAGGTAAGCAGCCTAACTGACCATCGTGTGGTCAGTAGGTACTCAGCCTGACTGACCCTCGTGTGGTCAGTAGGTACTCAGCCTGACTGACCCTCGTGTGGTCAGTAGGTAAGCAGCCTAACTGACCATCGTGTGGTCAGTAGGTACTCAGCCTGACTGACCCTCGTGTGGTCAGTAGGTACTCAGCCTGACTGACCCTCGTGTGGTCAGTAGGTAAGCAGCCTAACTAACCATCGTGTGGTCAGTAGGTAAGCAGCCTAACTGACCATCGTGTGGTCAGTAGGTAAGCAGCCTAACTGACCATCGTGTGGTCAGTAGGTAAGCAGCCTAACTGACCATCGTGTGGTCAGTAGGTAAGCAGCCTAACTGACCATCGTGTGGTCAGTAGGTACGCAGCCTAACTGACCATCGTGTGGTCAGTAGGTAAGCAGCCTAACTGACCATCGTGTGGTCAGTAGGTAAGCAGCCTAACTGACCATCGTGTGGTCAGTAGGTAAGCAGCCTAACTGACCATCGTGTGGTCAGTAGGTAAGCAGCCTAACTGACCATCGTGTGGTCAGTAGGTACGCAGCCTGACTGACCCTCGTGTGGTCAGTAAGTACTCAGCCTGACTGACCCTCGTGTGGTCAGTAGGTACTCAGCCTGACTGACCCTCGTGGGGTTTCAGTAGGTACTCAGCCTGACTGACCCTCGTGTGGTCAGTAGGTACTCAGCCTGACTGACCCGTGTGGTCAGTAGATACTCAGCCTGACTGACCCTCGTGTGGTCAGTAGGTACTCAGCCTGACTGACCCTCGTGTGGTCAGTAGGTATGCAGCCTGACTGACCCTCGTGTGGTCAGTAGGTAAGCAGCCTGACTGACCCTCGTATGGTCAGTAGGTACTCAGCCTGACTGACCCTCGTGTGGTCAGTAGGTAAGCAGCCTAACTGACCATCGTGTGGTCAGTAGGTACCCCAGCCTGACTGACCCTCGTGTGGTCAGTAGGTACTCAGCCTGATTGACCCTCGTGTGGTCAGTAGGTAAGCAGCCTAACTGACCATCGTGTGGTCAGTAGGTACTCAGCCTTACTGACCCTCGTGTGGTCAGTAGGTACTCAGCCTGACTGACCCTCGTGTGGTCAGTAGGTAAGCAGCCTAACTGACCATCGTGTGGTCAGTAGGTACTCAGCCTGACTGACCCTCGTGTGGTCAGTAGGTACTCAGCCTGACTGACCCTCGTGTGGTCAGTAGGTAAGCAGCCTAACTGACCATCGTGTGGTCAGTAGGTAAGCAGCCTAACTGACCATCGTGTGGTCAGTAGGTACGCAGCCTAACTGACCATCGTGTGGTCAGTAGGTAAGCAGCCTAACTGACCATCGTGTGGTCAGTAGGTAAGCAGCCTAACTGACCATCGTGTGGTCAGTAGGTAAGCAGCCTAACTGACCTCGTGTGGTCAGTAGGTAAGCAGCCTAACTGACCATCGTGTGGTCAGTAGGTACGCAGCCTGACTGACCCTCGTGTGGTCAGTAGGTACTCAGCCTGACTGACCCTCGTGTGGTCAGTAGGTACTCAGCCTGACTGACCCTCGTGTGGTCAGTAGGTACTCAGCCTGACTGACCCTCGTGTGGTCAGTAGGTACTCAGCCTGACTGACCCTCGTGTGGTCAGTAGATACTCAGCCTGACTGACCCTCGTGTGGTCAGTAGGTACTCAGCCTGACTGACCCTCGTGTGGTCAGTAGGTACTCAGCCTAACTGACCCTCGTGGGGGTCAGTAGGTACTCAGCCTAACTGACCCTCGTGTGGTCAGTAGGTACGCAGCCTGACTGACCCTCGTGTGGTCAGTAGATACTCAGCCTGACTGACCCTCGTGTGGTCAGTAGGTACTCAGCCTGACTGACCCTCGTGTGGTCAGTAGGTACTCAGCCTAACTGACCCTCGTGTGGTCAGTAGGTACTCAGCCTAACTGACCCTCGTGTGGTCAGTAGGTACGCAGCCTGACTGACCCTCGTATGGTCAGTAGGTATGCAGCCTGACTGACCCTCGTGTGGTCAGTAGGTACTCAGCCTGACTGACCCTCGTGTGGTCAGTAGGTACTCAGCCTAACTGACCCTCGTGTGGTCAGTAGGTACTCAGCCTAACTGACCCTCGTGTGGTCAGTAGGTACTCAGCGTAACTGACCCTCGTGTGGTCAGTAGGTACTCAGCCTGACTGACCCTCGTGTGGTCAGTAGGTACTCACCCTGACTGACCCTCGTGTGGTCAGTAGGTACTCAGCCTGACTGACCCTCGTGTGGTCAGTAGGTACTCAGCCTGACTGACCCTCGTGTGGTCAGTAGGTACTCACCCTGACTGACCCTCGTGTGGTCAGTAAGCGTTAAAGTCAACCAAGAAATTATTCCTGTTTCTGGTATATATATGAGCCTCAGCTCTCATATTTTCGTTCCTTCATAGTAGCAATGAGCCATTTTTTTTTCTAGCAAATAGGAATAGTATGTATATTTACATTTCACTCGATATATATTTATTTACGTTTGTGGGATTGTATATATAGCGTGAAAATTGGAAATTTTACTTTTGTATTACGCAAAAGTCGTGTTCTGACGCTCCGGTCACCAGTGGCATCCATAGTCAATTTTCTATTAGACTCGCTTCCCAAGATTACGATAATAATAATAATAATAATAATAATAATAATAATAATAATAATAATAATAATAATAATAACACCACACTAGCCTGTTACACACATGAAATATAAAATATACAAGCCTATTAGTAATACACAAGCATTATTACCTGGATTACCTGGAGAGAGTTCCGGGGGTCAACGCCCCTGCGGCCCGGTCTGTGACCAGGCCTCCTTAGGTCAGTGTCCCAGGATGCGACCCACACCAGTCGACTAACACCCAAGTACCCATTTTACTGATGGGGAACATAGACAACAGGTGGAAAGAAACACGTTCAATGTTTCTACTCTGGCTGGGAATCGAATCCAGGCCCTCACCGTGTGAAGTGAGAGTGTTAACCACCAGGCCACCAGAGCCCCATAAAATAAAATAAACTAACTTATCTTGTGTAATTTTTTTTAGCGAGATATTTATTCTTGGTGTGACTGACAGATCCTTTGATATTAACTGGAATATTGGACAGACATTCCCTTTCTTCCTCTACCGACTGTAGACTTCCCCTCTTGTTAGTTTTTGTTTGTGAGCAGAGAAAATCCCTACTCATACAGGTAAGGTGTGGAAAATTCCATGAAAATTACCGGAGTTATTCGCAACTTGAGGATATTCATTCTTAATCTTTATCCAGAATTCGTCCAGAACTTCCTTGTGCTTTAATTGCAGACTGACATCATAACGTATTTCAATTAATTTCTCTTCTGTGATATTTTAATTAAGACGACGAAGCTAGAGCAAAACCATTAACAATCTTGTGGCACCCCTGGGCACTATCAGTGGCACACCAGAGTGCCGCTGCACCATGGTTGGAAAACACTGATTTAGATGGTGTCTCCCATTACGTACCTCTGTAATCTGTAAATACCTTTGTAACTTGTCATGACTGTGACTAGACCTACCTGGAGTTCATTACCTTTGTAAATTGTGAATTCATTACCTCTGTAACTTGCTCAGCTATCAAAACTTTGGAGTCCAGTCCCTGGACCAATTATGTACCTCTGTAATCCTTTGACTACCGCCCACAGGATGGGTATAGGGTGCATAATAAACATATTAAACTAACTAAACTGACTCCTGTGACAGAGCAACACGGGTGTGGTGTACGGGGTGTGGGAAGACGAGTGGGTGGCTCGAACACTCCACCAGGGACCCAGTGGCAGAGTGACGGGCGTAGCCATCGCGCCTACCCACGCCCACGTGGCTACCACCACCCACCACCGCTACCTGCAGGTCACCCCTCTACCCCAGGTGAGAGAGACAGACAGACAAACAAAAGAGTATAAAGTACTGTTGAAAATTAGCCTTACTTATAACCTAAAGGATTAATTTACTTCTGTTCGGTGTTTCCTTCACACACTTGGCCAGTGTTGAACATCACTTTACTTCGAGCTTTTTTTTAATATCTAAATTTTCTTTATTAACCTCAGTGGTAATTGTAGCCCAGCCGAGGTTGGTCAGTAGTGATATTCAAGAGTCTTGTTTCGTTGAATGTGCCATAGACATGTGACTTCTCCTGCGTGATAAAATGACACTCATTTGAAGTTCTTTTAGTAATACTGTCTTCAAAATGCTAGCTGACAGCCAAGAGTTATCTATTTCCTCCATGAAGGCATACGCCTTATTCAGTTCATCAGTTCTGCTATGAAATTGAAATGCAGTGTGAGAGTGCCAACCAGGATTGACTTTGTTTCTCGCTCTCTGGTTGTTTCACTACAGCCAGGTGCTTCAGAGGACATAGAGAGAGTAACTGAATCCGTCTGTGCGTCACCACAACCAGGTGCCCCAGTCGAGGATGTGACTGTGGGAGGCAGCAGGAGAGTGCAGGTGCCCACATCTCTGACTAAGGCGGAGGTGAAGGGATCACCTTGTTGTGTTGTCTGGGCCACCTGCCAGGTAAGTGCTCGTTGTGTCCTCTTGTTACCTTGGATGAATGTTCATTATATCAAATTGGCAAGGCAAACCCATATGGCTCATACCTCGCCAGGATAGTGGGGGGTAATAGTGTTTGATCAAAGTAAGACAGTAGCTCCTGTTCCTTGGATCAAGAACCTTTCATCGGCCCCCAAGGTACTCCCTGTTATAAGGTACACTGACAGCAATATTAGCTTATCAGGTTTTAGTGGTATAAATATGTCTCAATTTCTGTCTTGCTGAAAGTGTAAGTACATCACTATTTTCAGTATAGTATACCGACTCCCTTGGTGTGTTAGTGTGTGACTAATTAATGGTCCAAGTCGGACCGAAACGTCGTAAGTTTCTCCTATATGCTAGTGATTTGTGTATTGTCTAATGTAATTTGCTCCCCCATATATCATATTTTTAGTATTTTTTAGTCACCCTATTTTAATTTTGCAGGTGACGGGGGAAGATGATCTGGTGGTGGTGGGGTTGGAGGACGGCTCAGTAAACATGTTCGTACTTCATATTGCTCCTAGAACCAGAGAGAAGCACCTCACTCTTGTGCAAGTGGAGCGACCCCACGAGTCAGCCATCTTGCACATCAGTACATCAAAGAAAGCCAAGCCTGGAGAAGGAGGGATAACTCCGCTACTTGTGACGGCCGGCGAGGACCGACGTGTCTTCATCTTTCGCTTGATAAGAGTTGGGAAAATAACGAAACTTGATCCCATTGGGTTCCACCAGTTAGATTCTGTGCCGGAAAGGATTGATGTAAAAGGGGTGAGGTTTTATTGGTCAGCAATATCCAAAGTAACCACGTGAGTGCATAAGACATGATTTTTGATAACACCTAAAGTCAGTACCTGACCAACCGGGCTGTGGCTCGTACGCCAGCTTGCGTGCAGCCAGTAGTAACAGCCTGGTTGATCAAACCCTGATCCACCGTGAGGCCTGGTCTCAGACCGAGCCGCGGGGGCGTTTACCCCCGAAACCCTCTCCAGGTAAACAAATGATAATAATCCAATAGAGTATTAAGAGATAAGATAAGATTTCGTTCGGATTTTTAACCCCGGAGGGTTAGCCACCCAGGATAACCCAAGAAAGTCAGTGCGTCATCGAGGACTGTCTAACTTATTTCCATTGGGGTCCTTAATCTTGTCCCCCAGGATGCGACCCACACCAGTCGACTAACACCCAGGTACCTATTTGCTGCTAGGTGAACAGGACAATAGGTGTAAGGAAACGTGTCGAAATGTTTCCACCCGCCGGGAATCGAACCCGGGCCCTCCGTGTGTGAAGCGGGAGCTTTAGCCACCAGGCCACCGGTGGCTAGCCTTCCTGAGCGCTATGATTTCTTGAGAAATATCTAATTTTACTACATATACACCTTGTCTTGGTTGTTTATTTTACAGTTAATCAACTAAACTAGTGGTTATTAAGGCTACTTATCGCCTGCACAACACCAATCAAGAATACTTTAATAATTCACCGAATAGAGGGTTCGAATCCAAGACAAGCTGGTCTTAGACTTTAATCCCTTAAAACAGGGATTAAAGTATGTTCTCAGAATATAATTCTCTGAGACATATATTCTCCTCTTTATGTATATATATTATGGTGACCTTTTTGTATATCATTAAGTAAATTTCATTTATCCTCTCGTTATGCATGACACGAAAATAATAAATGTAATAATTATTAAAAATAAGAAATAATTGTACTCTTCCATGTGCAAACTGTGATTTGATTTTTGTAAGAGAGACAGGCAGAGATCTGGGCACCATCACAAGACAACACTAAAAGTCTGTGAGAATGTGTGAAGCATATACAATTGACTGAGAAAGAGCACAAATAATCCATCACACAAATTGAAGCTACAAAAATAGTCTGTTACAATTGAAGCCATCCTGAATTTGAATATGTCAGGCGGGTACTGGAGACCTGACTTCATAGCGAGGGCAGCAGAGGATATATATATATACTGACGGTTTGTTTCTCTCAGTGTATACATGTGCTGGCGATGAAAAGGTTATTGGGCAGCTTTATTGACCCTAGTGCAGTCGATAAGCTTTAAACCCCGTTAACCAAGGTAGCAATGAGGGTAATAATTAAGAAAGATTGTAACACAAGGTCAGATCACGTGACCTGACCTCAATTTCATATAAATTCTCCTAGTTTTGCTTGGTTCTGTTTCTGTGCTGAAGAGGACACAAGTGTTGGGATCGAAATACCCGGCTTTCTTGTTTACTTTTATGATGAATATGTTATTGTGCATATGTTTAGGTAATGAAAGACTGGATATCAGAGTGGAGGGAGGGAGTATGGAGAAAGTAAATGCTTTCAGATATTTGGAACTGGACGTGTCAACATGAGTCTATGAAAGACGAGGTGAATCATGGAATTGATGACGGGAACAAGGTGAGTGGAGCACTGAGGAGTCTGTGAAGACAAAGAACATTATCCATGGAAGCAAAGAGGGGAATGTATAAGAGTATATTTATATCAACGCTCTTATATGGGTGTGAAGCATGGGTGGTGAATGTTGCAACAAGGAGAAGGCAGTGGAGATTTCATGTCTGAGGGCAATGTTTGGTGTGAATATAATGCAGAGAATCTGTAGTTTGGAGATTAGGAGGAGGTGTGGAGTTACTAAAAGTAGTATCCAGAGGGCTGAGGAGTTGTTGAGGTGGTTTGGTTATTTAGAGAGGGTGGAGCAAAATAGGATGACTTGGAGGGTGCATAATTCTGTAGTGGAGGGAGGGAATGTTAGGGGTCGCCCTAGGAAAGGTTGGAGGGATGGGGTAAAGTATGTTTTGTATGCGAGGGACTTGGACATCCAGCAGGCGTATATGAGCGTGTTAGATTCTAGTTAGTGGAGGCAAATGGGTTTTGGGACTTCACGAGCTGTTGGAGTATGAGCAAGGTAACATTTTGTGAAAGGACTCAGGGAAACCAGTTAGCCAGACTTGAGTCCTGGAGGGAGGGGAGTACAGTACCTTCACTCTGTACGGAGGGCCTGAGATATAGCATTTGGAGGGTTAATCAGAAGTGAGTAATTTGCGTCTGCCTCAGCCAAAACAGTGATGAGTGAATGATGGTGATGTGATGTAAGCACATTGAAAGCGTATACGCCAGGCTTTTTTACATAAAAAACAAATGACGTTAAAATTTTACTACGTTGCAGGAAACTATCCAAATAGAAATGACTGACGGTGTGGTACTGGAAATCCCCTGCCACCCGTGTACCAGTTCTGCCACAGCCAGGTCAGCATCTTCCACAGCCACTCCTTCCATCAGCTCAGCAAGGGCGGCGCCGGGATATCCTGGCTGTTTACAAGACGATACTCAGGGCCGCGGGAGACATGGGAAAGTGTGAGAGTTGTGCGTCGGCAGCTGCTTCAAGAGGCAGCCTACACCTGTTCTCACCCTCAACACAACCTCCTCCTCACTCTACCTTCGTGAGTTACAACACTCTTGTGAAAAATATGCACTATACAAATAATTTCCATTTTTTAGTCTGAAATGTATAATTTTCCTGATAGAGTTTATTGTATCCTAATTATTTCATCCAATGACCATCTCATGGAATCAGTATACATTTAAATTAGGCTTGCATAAACACAAACAATTGTAAATCCGCTGAGAGCACTCTACTCACCACTATAAAACTAGTAATGTATCGGTCAGTGAGCATCCGAGAGAAGTAATCGATAGATGGTCATAAGCTCGGCTCGGCTGTATATCAAGGTACGCAAAGAGCCTAGCACAACTCTACCTCTAACCGTCAGCTACCTAATATCCAGTCAATCTAGCAGGGTAAAAAAAAGTTCATCTCTGGAGTTCAGGCGAGAAAGATGCATCATAATTTACACCTGGAAAATCCTTGAGGGTCTAGTCCAAAATCTGCACACATAAAGCACTCCCTATGAAAGCAAAAAACTCGGCAGGACGAGCGCAAATTCCCCGAGAAAAAGCAGAGGTGCCGTGAGTAGCATGAAATAAGCGTCAGGGTCCCAGGGCTGTTCAACAGCCTCCCATCTTACATAAAGGGAATTACCAGTAGACCTCTCTGTCTTCAAGAGGGAACTAGACAGATACCTAAAGTCAGTGCCTGACCAGCTGGGCTACATTGGCCGTGAGCCAACAGAAATAGCCTTGTTGGATAGGCACTGATCCACCGAGGTCATATAACCAATATTTTTATTAATTTTAGTGCTATTTCATGTAAAAACTCTACCCAAAAGTACATTATGACAATTAAACTTCAGTAACAAAAACATACATTGAGAACAAGTCAGCCATGTCCTAAATGAAACAAGCTGGGAAGATATCCTAAACAACACGGATCCGAGCCTTTGCTTAGAAAAAACAAAATTCATTGTTCTTGAGATCTCTCAAGGCACACTCCATTAAAGAAAAGGAAGAAAAGAGAAGATGTAAACTAAAAGAGAGAGACGCTTCCTATATAGATGAAGGCGAAGAGACATGGAGCTGCTGAGTGGGGTCAATATATCTGAAATACGAAGGGAGTCACTATCAATGAAATTCAGATATAGAACTTAAGCTGAAGGAATCTTACAGATACAAGAATCAAAGTCAAGAACTAAAAGCCATAAAAGGAATTGAAAAACCAAAATACATCTTCTCTTACTGCCAAATCTAAGGAAAACAACAATCATCCAGTTATGCCCCTGCTTAAGCAGGCGATGGACATACACAGATGCAGCAAAGAAAATGAGAGATACTAAAGTCCCAATGTAGCCAAGTTGTTAGCGAGGCCACTGCCGAAACAAGAGTCTCGACAATCCAAATGAATTCCCTTTTGTGAACGAAATCCAAAATTGGTCATCCCACAAATCTCAGATAATAGATCCTAACACCACACGAACTTTGAAAAAGGCAAATAAATGACATGCCCATGCCCCTGCCTCCATGCCCAGACTCATGAACTCCGTGTTATCAAGAACAGCCAAGAAGCCCTGTTCACGTGCCTTCAGCATTTTATGGAGAGGGAGCATGGACACAGGGGTCATCCCACACTCACTAACACAACAGACATAGCCCCACTCCGCAAAGGTGGCAGTAAAGCAATTGCAAAGAACTACAGACCGATAGCACTAACATCCCATATCATAAAAATCTTTGAGAGGGTTCTAAGAAGCAAGATCGCCAGTCACCTAGATACCCATCAGTTACACAACCCAGGGCAACACGGGTTTAGAGCAGGTCGCTCCTGCCTGTACCAGCTACTGGACCACTATGACAAGGTCCTGGATGCTGTAGAGGATAAACAAAATACAGATGTAGTATAAACACAGACTTTGCAAAAGCCTTCGACATGTGTGACCATGGTGTAATAGCGCACAAAATGGTGATAAAGGAATAACAGGAAAAGTTGATAGATGGATCTATAACTTCCTGACAAATAGAACACAGAGTAATAGTAAACAGAGTAAAGTCTGAGGCAGCCACCGTGAAAACCTCTGTTCTATAAGGCACAATACTCGTTTCCATTCTATTCCTCATTCCTCATCCTCGAGGAAATTAAATCTTCATCAGAGTACAAAACAAATTCTGGCCACAAAATAGAGCGAAACACCAACGTCAAAGACCTGGGAGTGATCATGTCGGAGGATCTCACCTTCAAGGACCATAACATTGTATCAATCGCATCTGCTAGAAAAATGACAGGATGGATAATGAGAACCTTCAAAACTAGGGAGGCCAAGCCCATGATGACACTCTTCAGGTCACTTGTTCTATCTAGGCTGGAATATTGCTGCACACTAACAGCACCTTTCAAGGCAGGTGAAATTGCTGACCTAGAAAATGACAGAGAACCTTCACGGCGCGCATAACGAGATAAAACACCTCAATTACTGGGAGCGCTTGAGGTTCCTAAACCTGTATTCCCGGGGAACGAGGCAGGAGAGACATGATTATATACACCGGGGAAAATCCTAGAGGGACTAGTACCGAACTTGCCACACGAAAATCACTCACTACAAATCAAAAGTCTTGGCAGACGATGCAACATCCCCCCAATTTAAAAGCAAGGGTGTCACTAGCACGTTAAGAGACCATACAATAAGTGTCAGGGGCCCGAGATTGTTCAACTGCCTCCCAGCATACATAAGGGGGATTACCAACAGACCCCTGGCAGTCTTCAAGCTGGCACTAGACAAGCACCTAAAGTCGGTTCCTGACCAGCCGGGCTGTGGCTCGTACGTTGGTTTGCGTGCAGCCAGCAGTAACAGCCTGGTTGATCAGGCTCTGATCCACCAGGATGCCTGCTCACAGACCGGGCCGCGGGGGCGTTGACCCCCGGAACTCTCTCCAGGTAAACTCTCCAGGATGAAAAGCAGCGGCGCCACGAGTACACTGAGAGACAACACAATAAGTGTACGGGGCCCAAGACTGTTCAGTTGCCTCCCAGCATACATAATGGGGATTACCAGTAGACCCCTGGCTGTCTTCAAGCAGGCACTGGACAGGCACCAAAAGTCAGTACCTGACCAACCGGGCTGTGGTTCGTACGTCAGCTTGCGTGCGGCCAGCAGTAACATACTGGTTGATCAGACCCTGATCCACCACGAGGCCTGGTCTCAGACCAGGCCGCGGGGGCGTTGACCCCCGAACCCTCTCCAGGTATACTCCAGGCATTTCCTAAAATATTAGCAAAAAAAGTGTGGTTTGTGGAGAAACATAAGTGCTTGACACTGCGAGTGTATGTATCTGGTGTATATTAGATACAGTAAATAATGGAAGTAGGAGAATAACCAACATGGTGACGTATATTTTGAAAATATGTTGACATCAACAGAAAAAAACAGATAACTTTGTTTGTTATAGAGAAAATGTGTACAAAGAGACACGATTCTTTTTACTGTAGATCTAATATTTCACATATTTCAGTTTGTCTATGTTGTGTTTACTAAGTACAAATGAATGCAGAACTATATATAGGTTTCTGACACTCAGTACATGTTGAGCAAGCACTGTGTGCAAGACCATGAATATTGCCGGTACACTACTAAAGCGACCTGGGAGCTGTAACTACCCCAGAGAGGTCCAAGAGATGAAGACAGTACCATCAAGAGGTCCAGGAACTTTAGCTCATCACCCGTAAGTAGTCATAATTGTTGCTTGAAAACCATCAAAGGGTCCCAGGACGGGAAGATCAAAAACCCTCAAAAGGCCCCAAAAAGCTGTAGGAAAATACTTTTAAGGGGGTTTTAAAGGGGAAAGGGGAAAAAAAAAAATTCCCCTCAAGGGGGCCCGGAACTGGGCTAAAACGCTTGGGGAAAACCTTTGAAGCAGAAATCAGTAACCGCAGGAACGGAACTCAGAGCGTAAAACCCACCATAAAATGTAAAACCTTCCGGGGGGATTTTTCAGAATGGTGTTACTGCAGGGAGTGGAGGAAAAACGATGGTTGCCCAGGGGAAGGGTCAAGTCCCCGCTCCCCATAGCCCAGGAATAAATAGACGTTCTGAATGAAAATTGCACAAATTATGCCCCAAAGGGAAATAAGTAAACATAAAAAAAAATTAAATGTTAAATTAACTAATTGCTTTTAATGTGTTTTGGAGTTTTAAGCAAAATTATTTTCTTTTTAAACCCCTTTAAAGAAAATTAAAGCAAAAAAGTAATAACGCTAAACTCTAGAGTGAAAGAAAAATAATTTTGGCCGGAAAACAGTATGGTGAAAATTTGGAAAAAACCAAATTTGCAACAGTTGGGTTTTTTTATTCCGAGCCCTTTTGGCTACAAAAGTAGGCTTTTTGTGGCTGCAAGATTTACGTTTTTAATTTTTTCCGTATGCCCACACCCCCAAAAAGGGGCCCTGCCTCCCAACCAGTAAAACCGGGGCTAAGGTAGACAGCCGTACTGCCCCGCACAAAACACCCCCTTTCTGTCTGCCAGCTTATTTTCAAAATTTTTCGCCACTCAGGTGTTTGCCCTCTGTGGGCCACCCAGGTCATGGGAGGCCCCGCCCACCGCTCTCACTCCAGGCCGACCCCCCTTAAAGCCCCCAATGTTTCCCCCCCCACGGACGGTTTGGGGCCCTTTCCCTCACACTGCCCGTTGTGAAACCCACCACAAACTTTAACAATGAAGAAAAAAAGCCCCCCGAAGAAGACGCTGTCCTTTAAACCACCGCTACAGCCCCTCCCAAAACCCAAGCCCGTTATAAATGGTGACAGCGGTGTTTCGCACCGTTGTTTTTCCCGGGAAGAGGAGGAAGAGGTATAAAGTCATTCCTTCAAAACATCACCCTACACAAGAACATCCGCTCTCAAACGAGTTATCCTGATGTCTTTGCCCGCACTTTTTGAGCACCCCGACACGGGCCAAATTTTTGGCCAAAATTTCCCTCCGAAAAATTGAAAGTGGCGTCACAGTAAACCCCCCCCCGTTTACAGCGCCCCCCCAAAATACTTCCCACGCGTTTTCT